CTGGATCTTGTGTTAATCCATAAATTTTATTTATAAATGATTTACCATGAAATGTAACATAATTTCTAAACTATATAAAAAATATGTTGAATATCAGAACAACATTTAACAATCTGAAATTAATAGAAAAAATAAAATAATTTACCTCATTAAGAAATTCATCAGAAATATTCTGTGAATTATGTAGCTTTTTTAGTACTACAGTCCTATTGTTACTTGTTCTTTCATTATTATTTTTATAATTTATAATTCTCTCACCATTTAACCAAGTAGCTTTGGATACAGTTGCAAAACCACCTTCACCTATCTTTTCAATATTTCTTAAATCATTATAAGGAATCCATTGAAGATAATATTTATTATCATATCTTCTTGTTTTAAGTTGTGTACTTTTAATCAACTTATCTAATGTTTCATTGCCACTAGTCCATCCTTCAGTTAATAACTTTGGATCACATGATTGACACCATTCCCAATGAGTATTATATCTATTGCAGGTTGGACATTCCCCATATCCTTCATATCTTTTATCAGAATATTCATCATTTTTGTCCAAAATGTTTTCCATTGTGGTTTTTGTATATTTGTAAAAAAAATTTTTTTTTTTTCAGCCACAAATATGTATCACAAAAATATATTAATAAAAAAAAATTAAATTTTACCTGAACTACAATAATTCAGCATTGACACCCTAAAGTCATAAAACTGTTATAAAAATTTCTTGAGTGGAAATTTTTGGAGTCAATAGTAAATCTTAATAATTTATTTTTACCATACTTTATTTTCGACCATACGCTAACTCTAACTTCTATAAATAAATCGGATTTCAGCCCCATACCCTTTCATCAGGATCTTGCTGTTCTTCTTTCTTACTTTGTGATGCCTCACTTTCGCTCTTATAAAATCAGAATACAATAATAATATCTCGTTATTTTTGGTTTTTAAAAAAATGATATTATTTGCTAACATTACCATTAATGAAGATGGAACGGAATCATATGATGCTCTAATGTTCCTTCATTAAATAATGACAGTTATTCCTTCTTCTTTAGATTAGTGTACCAACCGCAGTTTAATCGGTCTGTAGTCAAATTGCCTACAAATAAAAATTTTTTACAACTCTTGAATGATGATAAACTTCATTTAAAATTTTATTGTCTTAAATAATTTTTATTGTCTTCGATTAATTACTTTCCACATGAAAACATAGGTTTTGCTGATTCGCGCGTAATATAACATAATAACATTTTAAATAAATAAATTAATCAAATTTAATTGGAGTTTTTATTATTACTTGAGCTATTGAAATGTTAATATTAAATTTACATGAATATTTGTCTAAGCGTAAGCTACATACAATATAAATTTAACTACTATTATTATTACAATATAAACCTCAGTTCACTAACCAAACCAGTAGTTTTATAAACTGAATCAATTCTCCAATTCATCAATATTTTAATCTTGATCTTTTCCTTTGCTTTTATTACTAGAATCTATTGATTAAAAAAAGATTATTAATGAGTATATAGTAATTTTCAATTAATTTGTAATGAAAAAGTCAATTCACCTTTGTTTATGAGAAGAGATTTAAAATCAAGATCGTTTAATGAACTATAATTACTTGTACAAATTTTCAAGCTTTTTGATTTAAGAATTTCATCATCTAATATTCTACTTGTATGATATGAATCTGGATGTGGTTTATGCTGTTGTTGAGAACTACCACCACTACCAATATCATCATTATTATTAAGAATTTCTTCATGTTTATTTACAGCAAATGGCCAAAGTTCATCAATAGTTGGTCTTTTTGATGGATCCACATCCCAACATTTTTGCATCATTTGTGCATAATCGTCAGGCATTTCAGGTAATATTGGTGGTCGCAAACCTTCACATATATCAAAAATTAAATGATGATTATGAGCTCTATCATTAAATGGTGGATAGCCTGCAAATATTTCCCACATTAACATCCCAATACTGTAAATATCTGTTTCTTTTGTATTCTTTGTATTATTTGTGCCTCTAAATAGCTCAGGTGCAATATATGATATAATTCCATATATTTTATTTGATGACTTTTCATCAACTGGTCCACATAACCCCAAATCCGTAATAAAACAAACACCTCCTTGCAATAATATATTACCACTATGTAAATCACAATGAATTAAATCTTTTTCATGTATAAAATATAATGCAACACATAGCCATCGAAAAATTGTAATTCTATCTTTTAATGTCAAGTTAGAATGATTTTTTTGTAAATAACCTCTTAAATTTCCTTCGGGAAAATGATTTAAAACTATTGCATAATTTCCATTATCTGGGAATTTAGTTATACCATAACAAGAAACAATCCTCACTGATTTAATTTTACAATGATTCATTGCCTGTAATTAAATAAAAAATCAATTAGTATTACATTATTTATTTTGTTTTAAATAAAAACTACCAACCTCATCAAAAAATGCTTTTCCTGGATTACTTGAATTATTTAAACTTTTTAATATTACATATTGAGTACCAAGATAACTAAATTCTTTTTTCTTCTCATTGTAATCAATTATCTCTCCTCTTGTCCATGTAGCTTTATAAATTGAACTAAATCCACCTTCAGTTAATTTTGTTACTTTATTAAATTGCTCAAAAGGTATCCATTCCAAAATATGGGTGGGCAAAGATGATTTCATTTGACATTGTTGAATAAATTTATTAACTATGTCATTCCCAGATGTCCAAGTGGTGAAAAGACTCTGTAATTTTAATCTAATACAACCTTCACAGAATTTATCAGAGTATTTTGTCAATTTACACTTGTTACATTTTTTTGATTTGCCCAATTTACCTCTTGCACTTTCTAATTCAAACTCATAAATAAACCTTTCTTTACAATATCCTTTTTCATTTTCAAAAAGCTCCTTGTTTTTTTTTATTAATGAAAAAAATTCATTTTTTCTACTTTCCCTATCAGAATTAACCAAAGCATTAGTATATGTTTCATTATAAGTTTTATACACAAATCCCCTTCTTTCTGATGATAATAAATCATTAAATGACATTTTTAACGTCTTTAAAAAAATTTTATTTTGGGAAAAGATAAAACCCGATTTTTCCTTTTGAAACAAATAATAAATTAGGTGCAGCATTGTTGGTAATACACAAATAGGATTTAGCTGCGCCCCCATCTTGTTTGTCTATAATTACCACCAATCCATGATGGGTTGAGTGGGAACCAGCTTGTAAAGTATTTTCCTCTAACAGTGGAAAAAAAGTTCAAACCTTTTCTTTGATCCAATCTTATGTCTTCCCAGATTATTAAGTAATGCAACATTACATGAAGGATCTAGCTTGGCAAGTTTATGAACTTTGGCACTCATACTGCTAGTGTTTGGCCCCGCATTGCTGGATGTATTGAAGCATCATGAAAGAATGTATGCAATATTGGACTAATGATGTTGACAGTCAAAGTGCCCTCACTGAGAAGGTCCTTCAGTGGCTTAATAGGAATATTTTTTCATTCTGTGAGATAAATAAAAAGTGTTATAAATCAGTTGGGTATATAGGAGATAAAAGACATTATGAGTTTGAACTTACAACTGTAAAAAGACAAATCACACCTTTTCAAATTTTTTCTGGTAAACAAGATCATTAAAAGATTTTGTGAATGATCATTCTACAGTTCTTTCTGCTTCCTTCAACCCAAGATCCTCATTAAGCACAGTCTAATATGGGTGTGGAAAATAGAAACAGCCCTAACTGCAAAATTATGATTTCGAGATAATCAAAAAAGAAATTTTGACCCAAAAATTTAGTATCTGTATATATCTCGTTTCCATATTTATAAAACAACATAGCGGGTTTTATCTATGATTAGTTGATCATAAAGAAATTGATTGAATAATTTTATATTATTAAACTTTTTAATATTGCTTTCAAGACAATAAAATAAATAGATTCTTAGCAATATTTTTTATTTGTAATTGG